AACAGAAAACTATGATGTGGGGTCAAATTTAGTTTAAATATCTAAGCTATTGTAAGCATGGATCCTAGGTTTCAGTATGTCATTGCATCTTGTGGATCCCATACCTGCTATTCACAGGTGTTGTGTACTTGTCAATGACTCGTTCCATGATTTGCAAAATGGCTGACTGGTGCCATGAAAACCATTTTTATGGTTCCTCATGTATCAGGTGCATAAGGTTAGATTAAAGTGACTGTTTGCCTAAAGAGGGGTTACCATATTATAATTTTTCCAGTTTTAAATGGATGCATTTTCAAATTATGAATCTACGTTGAAGTAAAGTTGTGATTTTTTGTGATCCTTAGCAAAGTGTGAGTAGTATACCACCATAATACACACTTAAACCTGCTAACAAATAATAGTTTTTGATACATTTCACCAAACATTTATTCAATACCAATTGTCAAGAATCTCACAAATAACAACAGTCTTCATCTGAATTATTCCACAATGCAACTGGTGAATACACCAACCCCAAATGGCTGCACTGTAGCCACACACCCCTCCAGCGTTTACTTATCGGTGAAACCTTATCAAATGTAATGCATATTCTGATAGATGTATAATTGTTCCTTTGATCTATATCATCGACGCGCACCTGTACAAATTCATTTACTTGTCTTAACGTTCTAATGTCCCAGAAAAGCATCCAGGCTTCCTGGGTTCTGCCCGCTGCCTTCGCACTGGCTACGGTGGTTGATTTTTCCGATAGCACTGTCTGGTTCCTTTGGGTTTATTTGCACAGGGGCAGGGATCATCCGTTCAGTAACACTATCAGATTTTCACAAACAGAGCGCATTTTGTTTGAAATCGCTACCTCCAGCGTCCTACCATTTCGACACCCTAAAAGAGCAACACTAGCTTGTTATTTCTCTCCCTGTACAAAGTTTGCGTTCTGTCTTTCAAAGAACGGTTCTCATTTTGCTTGAGGCTTGCAACAATAAGCGAGTTATAAATCCTTCTTGATACATGGGGGTTTATGGAGGCGAACAATGAAGCATACTGCAGCGAGTTATGAACACTTGTGTGTTAGATCTACACTTGAAATGCGTTTACCTTTTTGAAATGCGTTTACTTTTCAAGACAAGTTTGAAAAGGAAATGCAAAACAATACAAAGAGTGTTATAGTTGAATGTGTGGCATCGGGGGATGAACGTATAGGCTGAAGTTTGGTCAAAGAAATGCAGTGTTATATGCTACGAACGTGCCGTATTCTGATGGACATGGATATACATAAATATAAATGAACAGATAGGAATGAAGCAAATGAAATTATTATTATGTTATTATAGGGTATTTTATATAGCGCACATATCCACGCAACTAGTCCTAGCTGGAGTGTTCCTTCCTTTGATCAATGGATGTCCTTTTTTCTAGCATTGTTTTTTTAACGAACTCAACTCCCTGAGGAGTATTCATCCATGAACGATGTGTATCCTTAACACTTTGATTATTTGTCTGGCTCTCGCATCCTTTTAGAAACGTGTGTATGTGTATTTGTGCTTGGTGTATGTATGATTCTTGTGAAATGATACAGCAACGTTACGCCACGCAACGTTTGTTTACGTGGATCTAATGGTAAGACACATATTCTTCTTGAAGATGAAAGTTTCAGGGACATGTGTCACTGGAAATGAGTAGTAGGCCCTTTTGTCAGTGTAAAACTTACTACCATGAGCAAGACCATGGACAAACATATAATAATGATAATTTCCAAACATAAGAATGCTTAAAGCGCACAATCTGGTTGAATATTATCAGTCAGGGAAAATTATTATATCCCCAGATAACCCAAGCTCTCTGTGAGGCGCTAGAAGGTTAATAGTCATATGACTTTCCCACCGGGTACCCATTTTCCGCGGGGTTATATAATTGAGGCGACGATGATGCTTCTAACTACTTTACATCATACCGATGTCTAAATGTAACCCAAAAATAATTATTTGACAGCAGTCAAGTCAGCAACGATCTTTGACTGGTCAATTGCTTGTAGGTATCATTACCATTACATTTGTCAAACATTTAGGAAGTATTTACAGATTAAATGGAAAACGACCAAATCATACAACTGTTTCGATAATTCGCCCAAACAGATTCCATTGGTCGTAAAAGGTAAAGTAACGGTAAAAAGTATGTGATAGGCTCATTGAAAATCAATGATGACACCAGGTGTTCGCGAAGAATTATAAGATGGGTCATGGACCATATATTACAAAAACTGCTGTAAGCTCGTATAACGGAATACACGTCTGGTCGAATCATATACTAATTAAATTTGAAACATCTCAAGACGTCATGTGAATCTTCAGAAGATGGAACGTGACACTGCAACACGTAAGGCAACCCTGGATCAAGGGAGAACCTGGCCTATAATGTATATTAAGTCTGTGTCTGTAATGGTTCATCGCAATTACTCAGGTGTGGTGCGTGTTTGATACTATGCAATCACGTTCTGTCTCATCAAAAAAACCTGTAGGCCTTTCTGTCAGCTGTACATGTGTTGAAAATGTTCATGCCAATAAGGAGAGAGAGAGAGAGAGAGAGAGAGAGAGAGAGAGAGAGAGAGAGAGAGAGAGAGAGAGAGAGAGAGAGAGAGAGAGAGAGAGAGAGAGAGAGAGAGAAAGAGAGAGATAGAGAGAGTATGCACAGAGGTAGGATGTAGCTGTTTAGCGCCCACCAAATCAAAGTGTTAATTTTAAAACACGGACTTTAATTCTCGTGCCAGCTCCGACGTCTGATCCTTTCCCTGGAAACTCCCATCACATACTTCCATCCTTTAACAGTTATTTCTTTATAAGTATCCAATTCTGTGACTGTATAATATTGGTTTAGAGAGAGGTGTATATTTACCATTTATATTTCCCAAACATAAGTCCCAAACATTTGGGTCGGTATAATGTACAAGAATGTTTGGGACGGGATGCTTCGAAAATATAACTGTTGTTGATGACAAGTCACACATACTGAATTTTGCATTATCCTCAAATAACGATAGGATATTGAATTGAGAACTTCTTATTTGAAACTTCATACCTAGGACTGACATAATTCCAACAAGAGCCGTCCCAAAGGCACAAAATGCAAAAAAGGCAAAACACCACAAGCTTACACCAGGTAGAACACATTCTATATTTTTTTGTCATATTCATAAAAATAGTACTCTTACTTCACCACATGGCAACTGAGACGAACGAGATTATCATCAAAGAACATTTTTTTACACACAGTTAGCCTAAAAAATACATTTTTTCTGGGGCACTTGTAAATTATGTTTATCTATGTCCTCGAGTGACCTTGTACATCGTTTCGCGACCCTCACTCGTCTTCATTCCACACAGACATACCGCCGTGGCTTGGCGATGTACCTTTCAACACTTCCAAAATCTCTTTCTCACTGGAAGCCCTGACAACTACAACATGCCAGAATATAAAGCTGATACCAGGCTAAACGTTCCTTGTTCTGTACTCAGTTCCCACAGGGTAGCTGTCATATTCCATGATGCACCAGACTATGTAGGTTCTGTGTAAGTCAAAGCCTTAACCATCTCATCATCCTAAGCTGCAGATATGTGCTATGTTTAAGTAGCTGTTTAAATACGATTTAGAAGGGTATTGTCTGACATGAGATAAATGAATTGTGAAAATAATATTTATTATTACCTATGAGTGAACTTCAGACTGAATAAAAAAATAATCTTTTTATGACACTCTTTGTAGTGAAGACTCATTTCCCAAAAAGAGAAACATAAAATATATTTATGATCCGTTCTGTTTTGTTCAGTATAGCTATATCACAGCGTGGAAGCTTGATGTAATAGGAAAATAGCAGTAATGCACGTCGTATATGTTACTACACGAGTATGGTTTTAATGTTTGCATTCATTAGATGAGGGATACTTTCGGATGTAACTAAATAAATAGTGATAAAATCTTTTCCATCATCATAAATAAAAGTGACAAAATCTTTTCCATAATCATAAATAAAAGTGACAAAATCTTGTCCAGAATCATAAATAAAAGCGACAAAATCTTTTCCAGAATCTTAAATATTGATAAAATCTTTTCCATTATCATAAATGCAAGTGACAAAATCTTTTCCATAATCACAACTAAAATTGACAAAATCTTTTCCATAATCATAAATAAAAGCGACAAAACCCTTTCCACATCCTGACGATTTACGAACCCGTCTGTGTCATGAGCATGCGCTGATGAATAACTATCAAACAGTGTTGTTAGTGGGCGTTTCCTGCCCCACTGGTGGCACCCGTCAATACAATTATGCAAAGACTCGTCAACTGTTCACCTGAAAGCATCCACGATAAACCTTTGCTGGGATGTATGCTTGATCTTGTCATATTTTGATTTTTCTATCACTGATGAAAAGCGACAAAACCGTTTCCATAATTTTAATAAGTCTTTGCTAAAGAAGACTCTATATCACAAGGAGTTGGTAGTGATTGTATCCGCGTTATGGTGAGCTACCATAAAAACCGTTATTCCGACCCCTTCTTTCCCTACAACCTTTCTTCTCTAAAATCCTGGTATTCCGATCGGTGAGTTCCTCTTTAGTATGGTTCCTTAATCAGGTTCTTTAATAAAGTGGACAATTTCCTGAAACACTATGGGTAAGCTTTGGCAATACAATTGTCTTCATATAAATGATAGATACATCGAAATGTTTTGAAAGCTTTACTTAGGCCAAACATATTGATTTAGACACCTAAAGAACGCAACTCTACTCATCCGGTAATTCAGTCCCTAGCCTAGCGCTTGTCTAAGAAGCTCAATTGGAAATATAACAACAGCACAATCAGCGTCTCAATTGCACATGAGAATGATGTCATGTGTACATCTATAACATTCCACAATAGGAATTTAATTGTGGAATAAGTTACAATTCTTGGAAATATATCGAACTGAGGTGACATATTGGTAAACTAAATCTCATTTCGTTTCAGATTCCCCCCGATCCTTATAAATTGGACCTTTCAGTAAAACCAAGGAAGGAGAGGACAGCATTTACCAAACATCAGATCCAGGAACTCGAGAAGGAGTTCAACGTTCACAACTATCTAACGCGGCTACGACGATATGAACTTGCAGTCTCCTTGGAACTTTCTGAAAGACAGGTAACACGTCTTCTTTCGTGCCATTCAGGTGGTCGTAAAAATACAATAGTAAAATCCTATTGCAGCCGTCTAAATAAACTTACATTGAATGACATGAAACGTTCAGATTTTGGTGTTTTGCCATCCGTTCAAACCATAGCTTATCCAACAGCTGACAAACACGTAAGGTTAAATGTGAGTTGCCTGCAGACATCAGTGTTGTTTAACAGATACCTATGACGTCCACGTGATTGCAATAACACATTTAAAGGGGAAACTCCCCAGGGGCATGTCTGATATTTATTACATAAAGGCAATCATTGTATAGAAAGGACGTATGTAAAGCTGTTTGGTGGTGTTCGTCCATATCGAATCATATAAGACACGATGATGGTTTTATCACTTGATGTTGTTCATTTCTCTTTGACATCTCAGTGGATCCGGATTCGTTTCCCCCATGCGTGAACCCATTTATGGTGTCCCTCGTTGTGATATAATGAATTTTATACATGAAAAAATATCATAGTAATAATAGATAAATGAGACAAAACCCTTGTATCCATAGAAATCTCTGCTAAAAGCAGTCGATTGTATAATTCCGACTATATATCATGAGCATGTGGTAATGAATTACTATGAAATAGTGATTATTCTAGGTATTCGCGAAAGGTATCCTGCCCCACCAGCACATGGCATAAAATATGCAAATCTAGTCATTTGTTTATATTTATTCGGGTAGGTGTCAAAATTGGACAATGCAAAGGACACCATATTTCATGAAGAGTCAAATTTGAAATGCAATGGTCCATAACATGGACGAATTTTCGATTCAACTAATACAAATGAAAAATGTCTCACAGTCGTAACATATCTTATGATAACTCAAATTACATCTAGTTTACAATAGTATGTAAATGTAAATAGCTCGGCTATTAAATAGTAAATAGCTAATTACTTTTCACGGATGACACCAGGTGTTAGGGAAAAGGTGAGAGCATCCTGCCCTTCCAGTGGCGCCCGGCAAAAACACATGTAAACGCAAGTCTACAGTTCACCTGAGAGCTATAACACCGCACTTACTTACTTAATACCCTTATAGTTATGACCTGACGGAAATGGTGTCATGGTACCTCCTGAGAAGATGATACGATGAATACGAATATGACTGATGAAAAAATTATTTAACGACGATAGGCTTGCACTGTTACAAGAAGGCGTGGAAGAATCTATTTAGAGGAAGATCGGAAAGGACCGAGTTTTGCCGAGAGAAAGCCCATGTTATCAGAAGATCTGTGAAAACGAACAGGGAACACAAATAAACGTACCTCCAAGTCTTTACATTCCGGTACTGATACTATCAAAAGAACGAGTGTTAGATTGGCTGATTACAACATATTTCTTTGTACTTGTGCCACACACGAGACGCCGAGTTCGTCCTTTAGAGGGCGATTTTTAAAGGTTTTCCTGGTGTTCGTTTCCCAAAAGCAAAGAAATAACCCAGATGTCTCGTAGCTGCATTGAGGTCATTTCTTACACAAAGATTTAAACCAATATTTAACAGGGGAGCAGTACGAGGAAGTTATCATATTCGCATGCATGACTGATATACCGAGAACTCAATCGACCAGACAGCATAACCGTTGAAACAAATAGTTTTGAACTGATGCTAAAAAAAGACAGCATTATGTATGTGCTATTCCTGTCTGAAGACGGTGTTGTTGATTAAGATTTTTGAAAAAGTATGCCATGGTCTATTTATTACTAGGAAGCTTCTACACAGGAATGACACGTTCCAGTACATGTTACAAGAGTTAAACAGGTTCTTGTACATCTCAGTTCAAACAAATAATGGAAAACATATTTTGCCCGGGGTTTATGAATGCACAGACGCTTCAATAGTGGGTTTTGTTATACATTCTTCTATATTTGAATTGTGATATTTCTCAAAGATTCGAAATTGAAATATATTGTTTGTCAATAATTCCAGATGATCTGAAGGTAACTAACTTAAACTAAGCTTATTGTTTCAGTAATATATCATCATTGATATTACGTTTGAAATCGATTAAATCGATTTTTGTTACATGGGACTTATCAAAATGTTTTAATTAGAAATAAGAAATAAATTTAACTTTATATATTTTGCGTAGAGAATATATATCAATGCATAAATTAATATATCTGTAATTCAGTATGCGTGAACCTTGACCTCATCTGACGAAGGAGTTCTTTTTTTGATCGTTGGCGTTCTATGTGTTCGCGATGGAGACAAATGAAATGTCCAATACCTTTTTACATGTTTTATAGCTGATGATAAATAACTTCAATGTGTTGCATTGCCTGTCACATATTTGTTTAGAAAAAAACCCACTGTGTTCTAAAAATCTACAATACGATGGCTCAGTCCATCAAGCTTACTTCTTTCCAAAAGATAGTTTTTAATGTGTTCTGTTTGAGTGCACGGCCCTTGTTGATGGCTTTGTATCAAGCGTTACATCTTCTCTTTGGTTCTTAAGCTCTGAAGATCCACGTGCATGTTTGTATAGTCACTTTTTCCAGCCAGACTTGCTCAGGTTCACAGTCAGCTCTTGTTCCTGGTGAACGCATCCTCGGGTCACGTTGTGCTGGGGTTGTCTGATTTCAGCTTGTTTCATGCCAAAATGGCGACGCTGGCCTATGGTCAAGCGAACACCCAGTAGGTGATCTAGGCGTTCGTTTAGCGTAGTCTATTTAACAAAATTCAAAACTATCTGGTGTTTTTAGTTCCTGATAGCCTCCCGAAAAGACCACTTTGTCGCTGTGTCGGTGCATCGTTTAACGGTTATTAATTATTCGCTGAATTATCCAAGCCTAATTACCCATGCATAACTCTTAGATGCTTAGATTCATTTAACGTTAATAACTCCAGGGTTCGCCTCCATACCTCACTTGATCATGACCTAGTTTGGGATTGGTTGAAATAAAATTTGTTTCATCATATATGTTATCTCATCTCCGTAACATCTGCGTAAATAATTAATCTTGATCTTTGATCATTGACTCTATATATAGTTTTATTTGCGTATCGTGAAAACCCTATTTCAAGACCCCACGTGATTATATCACGAGTTTAGTACATTTCCTAGCACAGTCTGCTTTGGGTCTGTTCAGAATGACTTGTGTATTGAGTGCTTGGTCTTGTGCGCAGAACGAATTGTCATATATCACTACGATCTAACATCTCAGGTAAAGTCAACATATCGCTGACAATATCTAGCCGAGAATAACAAACTGCAAGAAAAACAACAACTAAAAACGTATTTCTTACCAAACAGCAGAAAAAACAAATTACCATTTGACGACAGATCGCACATTACATCTGGCGAAATGGAGTAGTTACAAAACGTCTTTCAGAGGACGCCATCTTGCGGCACACGGGGGCTGGAAGACTTATATTGTCACTTGACCCAGATACCTGACAATACCAGTCATCTGTACGGTTTATAAACACGTCACGAAGGAGTTACATGTGTAAAATCCTCGTGTACAAAAAGGTCATCAAACTCATTCAATGTCTGTCCATTATGTCGATGCATATGTTATTGAATAATTATCTGTCATTCACAAGCGGTCACAAACTCACGCAAAGGCAAGTCAAGTGTTTACTCACGCAAAGGCAAGTCAAACTGGGAATCGTTTTCGGACATCACTTTGATCACTGATGCGTAGAATGTTTTGTTTCTTCCACTTCTGTCACTAAACTTTGCAAAATCCTTGACAAGGCTCGGGTTGGGATTAATCAATGCTTTCAAGGAACACTCACGAAATACCTTTAATGCCTATTCGCATGACGTCACAACTTAACGACCGCTTCCCTGGTTTAGTGGTTAGAGCGTTCGCCCGGAGAGCGGAAGGTCGCGGGTTCGATCCCTGACCGCGTCATACCAAAAGACGTTAAAATATGGTACTTGTTGGTCCCTGCCTGGCGCTCGGCATTAATGGGTACAACAAGGACTGGTCGGCTCGGAGTCAGTATAATGTGTCTGAGTGGGGTATTCATGCTTCACTGCGGCATGGTATCTCAGTGGGCTAGCACTATAAAAACCAGCTTAAGTCTGGGCTAGTACAAGCAGCCGCACATACACATACACACGCATGCACGTCGTCATATGGGCGAAATATTCTCAAGCACGAAGTTAAACCCAATTCCACCTCACCTCACAACCTAATACTTTACTTGTTGCACATCGCTCAGGTCTTTAAAACTGTAATAAATGTCAACACTTACATATTGAAACAGACACATTCATGCTGTAAATATTACCGAAGCTTCCTAGGCTTTTTTTCAAACATATTGAAAGGATTAAGTAATGTGCCGTTTATGTGTTTATCTTCCTACTTACGTCATTGTATTTTTATATGCACAAATAACGAATGTATTTTAGTTTTGTTCAGTTGTCGATACTCCGGTGAACGACAGTTGTTAGTGACAGTGAGTAGATGCCTATGAATGATTAAAGACTAAAGTATCAAAAAAATATAACTTGCTGTATACAACCATGGAACATACTAAAAAGGCAAAAGTATAAATCGCGGAATACAACCAAATGCAAATACTGAGAATACAGTATAATCCTTTGGAAAAAAATTTGGAAAAGCAAACACATAATTTCATCACAAGCATTAAACCTTGAGGGATATATTGTTGTTACATTGTGGGTTGTACCAAAATGTAAGTCTGCTATTAACTGAGGATGAGGATTTACCAGGTACATCGGACATTGTACGCGTTAATTCGGATGGTATCGTTCCGAGTCGCCATGCATCACGACTATGTTACGTATATATGTTATTAAACCAGAAACAATCCAGATGACATATAAGCCGGTCGTCGAGGTAGCCCTAGTCCTCAGGGAAAAAATACAATTTCGATGGAGTAAGGCAGTGTTATAAAGGAGTTTATTGACATAATGTTGACCTATATCTTGACTAAAGCATTCAGATTATCAAATTTCTGGAATAGCGATAAAACGGCTTGGAGCAATGGCACCTAAACTGTACACGTTTCAGAAATCATTGTCCAGAAAGCTAACAGTTAGTACTAAAATAATACAATTTATTAAAATGGACACAACACAATGTCATGTTGAAATTAAGATTATGTTTTACTGGAATTCGATACAACAAATGGCGATTAGGTTCCTGATTCTGAGAGAGTGTTCGAATCCCGATGTTGCTCAACCTAAACACGTACTAGAATCTGTACTGTACCGAGGCAGTATGATCTTAAATATAATATATAAATTGCATATGAACATGTTTTAAATGATATTGTGTATTCATACCTATGATTCCCCACATGGGTACAATGTATGAAGCCCATTTCTGGTGTTCCCCGTCGTGATATTGCTGGAGTATTGCTAAAAGCGGCGTAAAACCATACTCACTCAATCACTCATACCGATGTACTTGTTCTGTTCCAGGTGAAGGTCTGGTTCCAAAACAGAAGAATGAAATGGAAACGCGTCAAGGGAACTAAGCTCGTAAAGGACAAAGTAGATGGTCAGCTCAAACCAATAATGGCGCCCAATGTGACTTCTACAAGTGTCCCTGATGCAGATATAGACGAAAGTTTGACAGACCAGGAGCCGCCTGCTCACTGATACAAGATTGTACTGAAATTTCTGTGATAACCAAGAGGAATATGATGCCGAATAGGTCGTGTCTGTTTTCTTCACCCATGACGCAATGGAAGCAGAGCTTGACTCAAGTCACGCCTGTTACGACAATCACAGGAAGTCAGAACAGTTGACGGCCCTCCACGAACTTCCGGTTTCATATGGCCTTGACTTCATGAACATGTGGTGAGGAATGTGGAGAGTTCACAAGAACGGTGATGTGCCATAACGTGTATGATTTTATTATACAATGGTCGACATGTGCCATGGCTGAATTGTACAGAATTTTAATATACAATTATACTTAAGATGCAAAACTGTTGTATTATATATACGCCTCCTTGTAATGGGCGTACGATACCAAGAACAAATCTCATATTTACGTTTCCTAAAGGTTCTCCATGTTTGTGAGTGTTGAATGGCCAAGCAAGACGATTGGAATCCTCCACGATAAAGGACAGGATTACTACACACCTGTTTTAATCCTCATAGGTTGCCATTTGTAACCGCAATCGTGCACAGGTACAAGTGCATGGTACATAATTAGCGAGCAGCTTAAACTACACCGGTCATGTAGCAACAAAAAACGTGTTACCGAATTCCTCTAAAGATTGGGTATTTCGCTGCTGAGGGAAAGAAAGTAAACACAATTACCTCCGATTGGATGTTCATTTGAGGAAAGTAATGTTTTGCACGTGCCTCCATAGAAACATGCGCCATCTGGTGGCGAAAAAAAGCGGCAGGTGACACTGCCGTCTTCTTTCGATTTGCTCAAGTGACGTTCAATTTTTGTGGACAGAGAAAACTTATCAGGATAAGTAAATCCAAGTTTTATTTTACAAACATGCTCTGTAAATAAACAAATATTTAGAAGACGAAATGTTTTGTTTTTTGTTGCACGATTAAACTTACTGAGGTGTCAACACCTGGCGAGGGGAGGAAAGGTTTGAGTTTATGCCAGGAATTTCCCGAGTGCAGGAAACCGGGCCGAGTGGTATACCCAACCCTCATTGTGGGGACCTGCCCCTAATGAGGGCTCCACACTTGTGCCAACACATCATCTCGACATATAACGTGGTATTTCCATTTACCGTGTGGGTCAGTTTCGTTTTCCCATGAAAATTGTGGAAATCAAAGGATGTGACCAGCCAACACAAGCGTATAGTGTTAGGTGACTGCAAGACTCATTATGTGAAATGCCTTTTTGTAACACAAGTATCTATGCGTCGTACAAGTGGTCTAGATATCACGCGTAACAATTACCGTAAAGTGTCAGCTGTGTTCCTATTTCAAACAAGAACCGTGTATGCAATAGACGGTGCCTTAGGAGGATATTTAGTCTCCCTTGAATAATTTAAGATTTTTTTGTGAATCTACAATAGAAAGGATCCGAGATCTAGAATTGAGAAGTTTAGTTTTGCAAGTATTGCTGACTTGCTTGAGGAATGTACATGTTATCATTAATTACCACATAGTTTCCATGTTTTCCAGAGAATAGTACTTAGTTGCCGTAAACACCCTGATGGTATATACATATTTACATCGAAGCTGACTTAGGCGAAATATAGTGTTCTTTTCTTTTACGACTATGGCTTTAAGCATGGGCAAAATGCATTTTAGTTTTTCTTTTCATTTTTGACAATTTTTTGTCCGTTACAGTATCCCAGAATACAACCAGGAAGAGCATTTTCATTTAAAGTCTGTCTCATTTTTAAAAATTTATTTCTGACCACTCATGTTACCATTAAGTTTATCACTCTCTTTAAACCTCCTCCATATATGGCATATATGTTTCAGTGAACGCCTTGTGATGTGTTGATTTCATTCCGTGACCAGATCACAGGATTCGTAATGATCTTTTCATCCGTTAATCGATAAGTACATCTGAACACATTGGGTTTGGCGATGTGCAGTTAAAACGTACACGTTATTACAACCAGATTTGTTTGTCTGTCTGTTGTTTAACGCTGCGATATTCCAGCGGTCTGTAAATAAGAGTCTTGACCGATGACATGTGTCAACAAAGTCAGCAAGCCCGTTAGTAGCCTCTTACGACAAGCATGGGTTACTCTAACCCGGATCTTCGTGGGTCCCTCCCCAACAAACGGTCCTGATGGTTTTAGTGACGCGTTCAAGCATTCAGAAATCTTCAGCCAAGGATGTGACTGTCCAACATGAAGATCCTTTCTTCCACAAACAAACCTTCCAACAGAATTGTTGCTGCACCTATAATGCACATGCATACTTTCTGTCGGAACAAAGGGGAAGAAATGTGAGAAGGTAACACACGGATGTCAAGAAGGATGAAAGGATGTTCCTACATGCTGGTCGGAATGGAACCGTTCCCACAAAAAATTGTAATACTTCCCCATATCTTAGAAGGTGTGTTGAACATCTGAGAGATGTTCATTCCATGCCATTCAGCGAACGCATAGCTGGTGTTCAACGGGCTAATCTAGCATGTGATTGATTGAGTCAGTGTCACTTCAGGTCTGTTCTATCTATATTCCAGCCATCACGTGACCAGGGCCTCAGTGAGGGGAGTTAACATATTCTACAATTTGGGGATTCAAAGCAGGTTCTAACTCGTAACGAGCTTTGTCCTACGTTGTATCAGATATCACCGTTTAAGGCATATGTGTAGGCATATGTGTGCATCGGTGGATGTAGGCCGTAAGCAGTCATGTTAAATGTAGATTGTAGGCATAGAACGTTGAGTGCAGGATAGCAGGTGTAGGCAAAGGAACTTCAGCACAGTGCAAGTGTAGGCATAGGGTGCTTAGTGCAGGTGCAGGCAAAGTCAGTTCTCGTACACTATGCAGGTGTAGCCTATTGAATGCCGGTGCAGGTGTAGGCAAAGTAAGTTCTGGTATACTATGCTGGGTACAGGCGTAGCCTATTGAGCTCAGGTGCAGGTGTAGGCAAAGTACGTTCTCGTACACTATGCAGGGTGCAGGCGCAGCCTATTGAGTGCAGGTGCAGGTGTAGGCAAAGTAAGTTCTGGTACACTATGCAGGGTGCAGCCTATTGAGTGCAGGAGTAAAGTTCAAAGTAATTTCTCAGGTACACTATGCAGGGTGCACTATGCAGGGTGTATTGCAGTGCAGGTGTAGGCAAAGTAGCCTGTTGAGCTCAGGTACAGGTGAAGGCAAAATAAATTCTCATACACTATGCAGGGTGTAGGCGCAGCCTATTGAATGCAGGTGCAGGTGTAGGCAAAGTAAGTTCTGGTATACTATGCAGGGTGCAGGTGTAGCCTATTGAGCTCAGGTGCAGGTGGAGGCAAAGTACGTTCTCATACACTATGCAGGGTACAGGTGTAGCCTATTGAGCTCAGGTGCCATTGGAGGCAAAGTACGTTCTCGTACACTATGCTGGGTGCAGGTGTAGCCTATTGAGTGCACTTGCAGGTGGAGGCAAAGTACGTTCTCGTACACTATGCAGGATTCAGTCTATTGAGTGCAGGTGTAGGCAAAGTAAGTTCTCGTACACTATGCTGGGTGCAGGTGTAGCCTATTGAGCGCACTTGCAGGTGGAGGGAAAGTACGTTCTCGTACACTATGCAGGATGCAGTCTATTGAGTGCAGGTGTAGGCAAAGTAAGTTCTCGCTTACTATGCTGGGTGCAGGTGTAGCCTATTGAGTGCACTTGCAGGTGTAGGCAAAGTAAGTTCTCGTACACTATGCTGGGTGCAGGTGTAGCCTATTTAGTGCACGATTCACACGAAGGCCAAACATTGCACGACGTTCATTGCAGGGGTTAAGGCATATCTCTTAACTTGATATCTGTGTAAGAATTTACATCGAAACGTCGATCTATGCAATAAACAAGAAGCTGTCGTCCATAAACTTGCATGCTTCATTTTTACATGATGCGCATGACTAATGGATACCTAGCGTAGCATAATGTTGAAGAATGCAGAATGCATGGCATATTGTCACACACACACACACACACACACACACACACACACACACACACACACACATATATATATATATATATATATATATATACATACATGCATACATACATGCATTCACTGATTTAAAGTTTACATTCTACCAAAGCACGTGGATAGCTATATATACCCTTTTTAGGGTTAAAGGGACATTATAAGCTCAACCAGCCTGTACCGAAATCGGCCCATTGCTTCACAAGCCAATATATTCTTTAATAGGAAATACGGTACGCAACAATCGGCTCATGGTAAATGCAAAACCACCGAATAAACGCCTTAATATGCAAAATCTAAGAGAAATGTTGCTATAACAGATATATGGCGTTACGTGTATCAATAACTAATAATACCGATACGCTTGTAGAACAATAGTCACACCTACTGATTTTTCAATACTCATTTTGTTTCAGTGGCGTTAAAGACAAAAAGAGACCATATACCGATATGGTAAATAGTCTCTGACACAACGTTCATAATCGGTAAACTTAAACTTGGTTGAGGCTTTTTAGGTTAAAATACCCCTTGACCTTAGTTTAAAACTGAAATTTGGCAAGTGAGAAGTGAATATATCACTAAAACTATCGACTGAGAAATGGAACCTACACGATCCATCGCCAGGGGAAATCGCTGTTTATTTTTACTCCGAGGTAGCATGCTACCGTCCCTACAACAACTTGATATCACAAACATTCCTCCGCCAGCTGAAGAGTTCTCGGAGAGAAACTCTCGTGTAATGAAGGAAAGAAAATTCTACATACGGGGCCCAGCTGGAAAAACGGGTCCGTAAAAATTGGAAGCGGACAAAAAAAGGACAGATGTTTTGGCCATTAGGGAACGACTATCGTCTCACTGAAGATAATGGTAGTTCCAGATACGGTTTGAGGTTGCTTTGGTGATCTCACCAAACTTGTGGGCCTGCTCGCTTCACTGTGCAAAGCAATACACAAAACTCCACAATATTGGTAATAAATCAAATGTTCCCTTCAAAACACCACATTTCCCCCCTGTTTCATACTTTTACCATCTGGTGCCGAGAGAAAACTTCACGAGAACGGATGAGTATATTTGCCTACTCCTGTTGACGGAGGACGAGGTCAGCAACTCCGCGATATAACATTGGCGGTATGGTATCTATACACTCTTCGGATAATACCTCCCTCCCATAACTACCTCGTCTAATGTGCATAAATCGGATTTTCAAAGACTCAACGCTAAAGACACTGTTTCCCATACATCGCTTTGCTCTGAAAATATTTGGAATAATATTGAAATTAGTGGAGCAACAGACAGATGTTGTGTTTGAATTTTTGTATTTTACCTTAACAAAACAAACAGTTACGAATTGTCTGCTAGTGGAGTTGAAATGACTCTACCAGCATTGAAAATAACGGCAAATTTGAAAACAGCTTTTATTATTGACTAAAAGACATTGAAGCTGATACATTATATCTTTTCATAAAAGTAATGACGACGTAAAACTATGAAACAAATGTATTTCACAACATATATTGTTAAATATATATATAACTGCTCTAAATGACTACATACGTTTGTACCATACTTGTGTATATTCAAAAACATAGCCCTTGATATTTTAGAAAAAAATAAAGTATATATACTACAATCGTATCGGTTTAATGTATTTGTACGAAATCTGCTAATTTCAGGAATTGTCTACAAATAAATTTAAATATGTAACACAAGCTTATCAATTTGTGGACCAAAATTAACGTTCTCGCTACAATTGTCTCCCCTTGATAACAAAAGACAGCCTCATATAGATGTTGATATGTTTTCTTCTATTCAGTTAAAAGCAACAACATATAAATGTTAAATATGAATGGTGCTTTTTTACATTAAATGACACACATGTTCGTTTTCTTAAGTAGCGCCATACAAAGAAGCCTTTTCCAC